TGAGAAAGGTATTTTTATTCTTCCTGCGATACACAGCAAATGAAAAAATGCCAGATGAACTAAACTGAAACTTTTGCAAGAGATTTATCTATACTTTTGGCAAGCAGTATACTTTTCCATGAGAGAATCTGGGTTAGAACTCCCTGCAGAGCCCCAGAATTCCTGTAAATCAATTGTACTGAATGTCACCTTAGAGATGGTGTTTACACCTTTGATGAGTTTGTGTCATTGTTATAATGATAAACTTCTACTTTGCAGCAATAAACTTCCCTCTGTTTGATATATTATTCAAGAATTTGCCAGCAGAGTTGAAGTTGGTGCATGTTTTTTTTCCCTGAAGCTCAGTGTTTTCGGAGCTGTACTGCTGGAAATAAAGCATAAAATGAGATTAGTTCCAAGTCAGGCTGGTGCTGTTAGTGAGGTTAACTCTATTTCCAGAATTTCCTGTTGACTTCAGTGCTATCTCAGGAAGATCCTGCAGCAATGTAGTGGCACCACTTCACAGGTGAAAGTTTTCCCTGTTGCACAGAGAAACTTAGATCAGAATTAAGATGACTTTTTATTTTGCTTGTGCTTCCTGGTCATTGGTCTCCCCTGGAAGCCAGAATCGTCACCAGGGCAATTCAGAACGACCTGCCCAAACAGCTACAACTCTGCACTTTCTTAAGTTCTGTGTATTTCTGTCCACTCCCAAACACTCAGTTTTGTCTTCTGTTGTACTCCTCAAGATGTGTTCATCTTTAGAAACCTCTGGTTGCTTTTGCAGTCCTGGTACAGAGTCACAGAGGTACAATCAACACATTGGCCAACATACTGTGCTAAAATGCAATGAGCCTTGTACTAATCCAGTTTTACAGCTAACAGAGTCCCAGTGAGCTGATTTAAGGTAAACTCATGCATCTTCATGCTCAATCTCTATGCCAGGTGATATTTTTTTCCCTAATTCCCCACAAGGCTGTGGGATGTAAAAGCCCATTTATCTGGAGTTGAGAGGATAAAGTCTCACTGAGCTGGTCATTGACACAGTTCCAAATTGCAGCTGGATGTGTATATCTTCAAAATTTGTTCTTCTCATTGTATGACTGTAGGCAAATTAGGCAGATTTTAACAGGTCTTAGAACCTCATGGTCTTCTCACCGGGTTGAATACCAGAATCCATCCTGAGTCTGCTGGCTTCCTTATTAATACTTCAGTTAGGAAGAGAAATAATAGTGGGAATTCTAATAAGAAACCAATAACAGTTTCAAGCCCCTTACTTTTCCCACTAGAAAGTTCCAAAAGTTTAAAAAAAAAACACAATAAAAAAAAAATAAAAATCTTTGCAACATTACACAGTGTTTGTCATCCTTCCAAAACCTTGAAGCCTCAGAGTCCCCTCTACTCTCAGGTTTGTCACTAGAGAGACACTGCTCAACTCATGAGTTTAGCCTGCTTTTCGTCAGGGGCAATGCTGTAAAGTCAAAAGCTGTGGGCTGATTAATCAGCACAAAGGTACTAGGTCAGTCCTATCCCCTTTCATTCTTGGTATTCATTTCAAAATAATCAGTGTCCATCCTGATCTGAATGATTCCTGTCCTAGATAAATAGCAAAGTTGAATCTGTATGTGAGAGACTTTACTGGTACCAATCCCCTCAGATATATTTATTTATTGATTGATTCATTCATGTAAATGAAATTCTGGCAAACCACATAATTCTAGACTCACCCTATTAATCTGAGATTCATGTGAGCATTTTCATTACCTACACTACTACAAGGTGCACAGAGGGACCTGTAGAGAAGAATTGTCTGTGTGCAGACAAAGGAGACTTTGTACAGTGAATCCCAGACTTGCCTTTGCTGAATGCTCATGAGCAATGGCCATGTGGAAGGTTTTTCTCCCTATGGATTAGGGTGTCACCCATCACTTATTTATGCATGTTAAGGAGCTGCAAGGTTTCCCTACAACTATCTCTTGTCTGGTATTTTGATGTGAGCTCATGTATTAGCCTTTCTCCCAGTCATGACAGGAAATCATCTTTTCATCCTTTTTCAGCTGTTATTTTGCATAAATGTATAGCCCTTAAATGTCTTGAATTCTTTTTCTTTTGAAAAAAATGCTGGACGTTATGCAACAGATTTTGAAGGCATTGCAACCAGGGCACAGAGGCAGATGATCAGATGGTGTAATCCTACATACAAATTTATTGAAAATAATAAATTTAATTATAATCAATTTCTTTTATAAAGAAATTATAAAATATTTTAACAATTATAAAATTTCTTTTCTCTTCAGTCATCTCTTTTTTATTTGGAAGGAATTTAGTGTCTCTGAATAAATAATTTAATGGTCATTAATATTCTGAGTATGAATGTTTTTATATTTCTTTTTATCTTGATCACCCAATTACATTTCTTCTATCAGGTTTGGACCTCCACTCTGTGTCATAATTATTCTTCTGCAGTAATATCTCAGTAAAATAAAAAAAAAACAAACAGAACTGGATATAATATTTTGACTTTACACAATTTCAGATGCTGAGCTAGATAAGAGATCTTCCTCATGATTTTATTTTGAGTATACTGAAGCACAGTAATGCCCAATAGGTTTAAAATGTTTCCATGGTTATATAATACAAAATAAGACTTCAAATGTGAATTTTATATTCCAATAAATTTGGTGACTGTTGATTTTAAAGCATATTAGATCATCCATGAATAGGAGGCCTTTAGAGCATCAGGCTGTTTAGGAACAAGTGGTGGACAGTTTTGGAGAACTTCTCTTTCTTCTTGGCATATTTTCATGATAATTCATCTATTGAAGATAATTTACAACCCTGTTGGTACTATACCAGAGACCTTATGTGATGGAATTTATATCACTTTTCCTTTTAGACATTTAAACCACATGTCATTCTAGAAAAACGAGGACAGAGGTCCAACAAAGGAGTGATTTATTTTCAGTTAAAATACTAGCTACATTAAAACCACATGTTATTAAGTACTGTATAACCAAACCATACTCAAAAGAATGCTTACGACACCAAAGCTTGCTTAAAATGTTTCATTCTATTTTTTTCTTTTTTTTTTTTCTTCCCAAAAGAACTTTGGCAGTGCACAAATTAACAGACTTTACCTGAGCTGCACAGTACATTGGCTATACTTCTCCCTTGGAGAAACAAACTTTTAAAGTGCCGGAGTACAAACTAATTCAGTTCCTTATTTTTTTTTTTCTTTCTCACATTTCTGGCTTCTTGGACTTCTCAGTCCCTTTCAGGTATCATTGCATCTCTGTGAGTATCCCTCCTGAAACAGCATAGTGCAATTAATTATGCTAAGACTGAAACATAGTTTTTCAAAGTGAAACTATTTGTATTTGGGGCATATTAGGAACATGATCTCTTATGGTGCTCCTTTGAGAAGAGTAAAGTAACACAGAGAACTAGTGCACATGAATCCAAGATCAGGAGAGAAATAGGAAGGTTAGAATTAAGGGGCCCCAATTTTGTTTTCAAAATGCAGATGCTAAGGACAAGTTTTTGTCCTCATTATGCTACACTTTCACACCAGATTGCCTAGGACTTGAAGGAATTTTTTAATGCTCGTGCTGCCAAGTGAGATGTCCAAAGCTCAGTAGAGGTGACAAGAGAAGGATTTACCCTGTAAAAAGGAGCTTCTGCTATTCCACTGAGTTTCCAGGCTGGTTCTGTCAATGTGTGTCTGGCTCATACTGGCACAGAGAGGGTTTGTGGGGGACTGGGAATTCAGCTGGCTCACCTGTATGCAAACCTCTGTCAAGCGCTGCTGCCTCACCATTCAGATTCTGTGCAGTTTGCAACTTGCATGGACTAGAAGAACTTGCTTTTGAAGAACTGCACAAGCTTTAGTGAATCACCACAATACCTCTGTCTCACAGGTCATCACTGGACAGTTTTAGCCTTAAAATGGGATTGATCGGTTTCTGTCAAACAGTCTTTAAACCAAACAGGGATCTGAGCAGCAAATTTCTCTGCTCGTATGTTTGAAATCATTCTAATTCAGATGTTACAGTCACATCTTGAAGTCATAAATACTACCTTAAGCTCACCTGATATTCTTATTTTTCCTGACATTGCTTAGCTCAAGCAGATTCTGAAATTCTGATTCTGCATCAGCAGCATGCTAAAATTTGTAGTGCAACAGGTACAACAGCTTATGTTACGTGTCTTTTTTAAGTTCTTGACTGCCTAAATGAAATAAAGTATATGTAGTAGACGATGTAGTTCATTAGACAACAGAAACTCTACCAAATTAAATCTGGCTTCTTTGCTATTTGGTGTCTTGGATGGAGACCAGTACCAAGTAACGAAGGAGATGGTGCAAGTAACCTCACAGTGGACAAAAAGGACCATGTAGTAGACTTGATGTCCCATGCTAAAATCATAAACTGTCACATTAAATTTTAGCATCATATGAATCAATCACGTGAAAAATTATTATTTAATCACCCTCCCAATAAGTCCCTGCACTGTACAGTATTTATATATATATATTTTTTTTACCATCCTGGCTGGGACATCTGTAGTCACAGCTGAAGTTGCTGCCTAACTTCATTGATTTAGAAATACAAAGCAGCTATGTTCCTGCTGCCTCCTTTGCCTTTCCTGAAGCTCTAGAAAGCTGTTGCTGCCACCAGCTCTGAAAAAATATTGTGGGGTGTAGTGTGGCAGCTATTGCTGTGTTAAATTAAGAGGAAAAGCCCTATTTGGGCTTCTACTCCTTGGTGGCATTTGGAACAGAAATGTTGTCTGTTCAAGCATCTCTCCATTTCATTTCCAGTTATGAATTATTGTCCAGAAATTATTGTCCTGTATTGGTTCTCTTCTCTAAAAATAACACAAGTTGATCGTACATTTTCACTTATTAAAATTTTGATTCTCTTTGCATGAATCTCAGAGTTGTCTTTTTTGTAATATGGATGATCACCTATCTTTTCTTCGTATTGCATCATCCAACTGACTTATCTTTTTCCTTTCTCTAGATGTTTCCAGATGTGTGGCTGAGAGGAAGTACACCCAAGAGCAAGCTCGCAAAGAATTCCAGCAAGTGTTTATCCCAGAATGCAATGACGACGGCACATATAGTCAGGTTGAAAATTTTTCATTCAGTGTCTTGGGTGACTGGAAAGTCAGAGTGTGTGTGTTTGAAAAGGGTGAGGAAGAGACAAATGTAATGAAGGGAAATGTAATTTCAAAATTCAATGTAATTTGTGCCGGCACGTCAAAAAAAAAAAAAAAAAAAAGGAAGGAAAATCTGTGTTATGTGCTGAGTCCTTGTTCTCTTTTTCACAGTTGGCCAGCAAAAGAGCCAAACATTACCACTGTTCGTGTAATACACTCCCTGTTCTTCTAGGATGAGGCAGCTGAGTCATTCTTGTAGCCCCCTGAATACTTATCAGATGGTAAAATGCTTGGAATTTGTGATCTGTTCCTCATTTGTACCAGAAATCTTGTGACTGGAATCCATATCTTAAGTGCTAAATCATGAATCATACAGAATATTTTGTTATTCTCTGCTGAGTTTCTTCACAAGCATATGGTCTGAGACTAATTTACTTAGCTCATGGAATCCAGAAGGAGCACAACAGGAGCACAATTAGGAGCTTATTCTGCAGTATATATTCCAGTCATGATCACCTTCTGTCCCCTCTCTACTGCATTTTGGTCATGGAGCTGTGCAGAAGACAATTTTTCTCTTTTTAAGCATGATGAGGCAAGTGATATTGGCCCTTAGAAAATATAATGCAATTGATTTCTAAGAGGAATTCCAAGAGTTTCCTTTCTGACAGCCTGGGATATGAATAATGCTGGCAGAAGCACTCTGTCCTGCTCCTTCAGTGGGTGGAACAATATGTTCTCTGTGTGGGAAAAAACTCAGGATTGCTTGTTTCAGGAACAGTTCATGTGTCCCTTGAGGAACTTCCTTGTGAGGTTTTTACAACACCTGCACCCCACTTGTCTAAGGGTGTAAACAAGCACATATTTCAATAGCTTTCTCTTCCATTTGATTCTGAAGCACCTACCACACTTAGCGTGAAATATGCTTTATGCTAAAAAAACATATCTAGGACTCAGATGGGCCCACCGTGGTTTATTGTTCTAGGTTTTGTCAGTATAGTTTGCTGGACAAATTTCTGTACTGAGGTGCCATGAATGCTGTGGGATAACAGGCATATGTCTGACAAGCTGCACATGGTTCTTGTTGTTTCTGACAGGTTCAGTGCCACAGTTACACTGGATACTGCTGGTGTGTCACTCCCAATGGCCGTCCTATCAGCGGTACTGCTGTGGCCCACAAAACTCCCCGCTGCCCAGGTAAATCTTATTAGTCTGGCCAGGTTATGACAGCAGAGCTCATCTGGGGCATCTGATTAGACTTAAGCAAAAGAAGTTTTCACTGGAAGAATGGGTCAACCCAGAAACAGGAGGTGGTGGAAGTTGTGGTTGCCTCATCCTTGGGGTTTGGTAAAATTCAGGTGGATGAGGCTCTGAGAAAGTTGGTCTAGCTTTTCATGTAGCAGTGCATGAAGTCTGAGGTCACTGCCACCTTAAGCCTTCCCACGGTTCTGGGATCCATCTACTTTATTTGTACATTAATCTAGCTATCCAAGGTTTTCTGCAATGGTCAATTTTACCATATTTGTGTCCATATATTAAACCAGGTGGCTGAATTGATGATATAGCACAGTACATTATAAACTCTCTTGTACAGAAGCTCCTTGCAAAAACATTTCAGAGGGATTTTTGTTTTTTGATGATTCAGATATTTAGAGTACAGGAGAAAACATAGTGGGAATGCCCATTTATAACATAGCCCAATGAAAGAACTTCCACAGCAAACTCCATGAATGACCAAATCCAGAGGAGAAATAAAAATATTAAAGCATTAAAATAAGAAAATAAAAATAAGAATAAAACATTAAGAGCAAAATGAAAACAATTGCCTGCAGAACTTAATTGGCAAAGCAAATTCACGACCTTGCATGCTATCTTTTGTCTTTCATCGGGAAAATTAACAGGTTCTGTTTTTCAGGGGTTTTCTGAACCTATTTAATTAATACTGATGATAAATATAAATCCCAAGTGTATGAATGGTTGTCAGAATTGCTGTTTATGTCCCTTGTGGTTGAGAGAATTGTACAGTAATAGCTCTACAAATATTTGCACACTTTATCTATTGTACAACTATTTGCACTGCAGCACCATTCTCTGTCAGAATGTGGAAGAAACAGCTTTAAGAAGCCAATCCTGTAGTGTGAAGTAAGCTGATAAAGAAAGCAGATCAGAGAATTTACCTGTCCTGATCTACTTCAATCATTCAAGCACAACACTGATGTTTTTAACAAATAGATGGAGGAAGGAAGAGACCACTGTGGAAGTTTCAAAGTTCATATAAATTAATTTTTATTTTTAAGGTCTTTCTAGTTAAAATGACTTGCAGAATCTTTCCACATCTTACCTGTAGATGAATTTTATTCAGAAATAATACTCTTCAGAATATTCCTTTTAATCCAGTCTGAAAAGTCACTGTGAAACAAGGCTCAATTGTGAAAAATAATATAAAATATTCAGAAACGTTAAAATAGAGGAAACTGTGATTTCTTTTTCATTTTAGTGTCATTATAATTTATGACTGATCTGCATCTTCAGAAGACACACAGATGTGTCTTCTTTAGTTGTGGATGTGCCATCCCTGGAAATGTTCAAGGCCAGGTTGGATTGGGGTCTGAGCAACCTGGTCTAGTGGAAGGTGTCCCCACCCATGGCAGGGGGTTTGGAATGAGATGAACTTTAAAATCTCTTGCAAACCATTCTGTGATGCTATGGCTAGGACAGGACTTTCATGCTTCTGTGTAATTTTGAGTAGAGATGTTTTTACATGTCCATAGCCAGGGCTTCTCTGAGAGTGCACCTTTGTTTCTTTCTCTGCAAAATCCATTTTTAGCTTCCTCCCTAACAGTCCTTTCACTGACATCAGTGAAAAGAGGGTTATGCTGATGCTGAAGGTTCAATAAATAATTGTTTTCCAGGTGTCTTATAACACATGGCACTATTTTGGCTCAAAATGTTGTTGAATTACTAGCTCTATTTTCACTTTTTGTATTTGTATTGGTATTACTGATGAGCAACTGCAGTGTAGCTCACAGGTAATTAATCAATTAATATGAGAATTATTCTATATCTCTACAGGAACCTAACCCTAGTTCCTCTCAAAGGCATATTCATGTGGCTAGCAGATAAACTGCCAGACTGCTTCAGCTCATTTTTGCAGGGGAGGGAAGGGAAATTATTTTTACAGAAATGCTGAGGTGAAGGTCATAATAGCACTCAAATTTAATTTTGTAGCCCAGAGATAAATAAACTGCTCCAGGGCACAGGTGAGTATTCAGAGTCTGATTTTGATCTATGGAAAGACTGTGGGTAATTTTTCAGTTGTTATGAGACCCTGTGGGATTATCTCTGCACATTTAGTCCCCTGGTTGTATCAGTGTTCTCATATTTTACTGTTCATAACTTCTCCTTTGTCCCTCAGGAAAGAAGTCCAGCTACAGCAGAGTTTGGAAGTAAGACTTGAAATGCTAGGGGAATTTTGCAGAGGTATTGGCTAAGAACTCAGTTTTGAGAGATCTGGAGAAACCTTCTCATTCAGCAGAGAAGACAGATACAGATTTTCTCAGAAAGTTATGGGGTATAATAAGGCAAAACTTAGTTTGTATATTGCAAAATGAAAGTCTGATGCACAAACGCACCTTTCTCCCATTTCCCAAGTATATATTCAAAAATTGCCATCTGTTTAGGATAAGAGAGTTAGGTTTTTATATCCTCGCAAGAGTGTTGATCTTTTCCAGATCACTGTTGATTCCCTTTAGTACTTTTTTATTTAGTATAACTATGCATAGGAGTTATAACCAAAACTTTAGTGGGTGAACTGAAGTTGTGTAGATATATTCCTGTTTCAACTAGTATTACAGAGATGACATTTCTGCCAATATTGTTGTCCCTTGTTAGTCCAGTACACCGTGTCTTGCTAGCCTTGATGCAGGAATTGCCTTGCTGTTTTTGATCTGCAGGCAGATCTCCTGCAGTGGTGGCATCCTGACACTGGCATGTTTCTGAATTTTCACTGCTTCCATGTATTCTGCAGGCTATTGATATTCATAGACATTTATAAAAATTTCTATGTTTGCCTGTACCATACCTTTTTCTCCCAAGATCGCTCTTGCCTCCTCTTTCTTTTAGAGGAAAATTTTTACAGTTAAGATATTTTTCTAATTATTTTCTTATAGGTAACGTGCTACCACGGAATGGATGAAAATTTCTTTCTTTAATGAAAATATTCAGTTAATTTTCTGTTCTAGGTTAGTTCTTCAGCAACTTCAGATAAGGTTAAAATATATGTCTAATCAACTGTGCTGTTCTGAAATTATGGGATAATTCCTTGCCTTTCATTTTGCCCCAGTGGAACTACCTTTGGTGACTGCCCAGAAATAAGGAAGAAGATCATGGGAGTCTGGAAGAACTTGAATTTTAATAGTGGAAATACAGAACAGAATTAAAGATGGGCAGTTAGGAGTTTGGTTTAGCAATTCCAACCCCTATCCATGCTTCCCATTTGCTGTGTGATACTGGATATGCAAAACAACCTCTACGTTTCCCTAACTGTTAAGGTTGGCTAGTTGAATAACATGGTGTTTCCTAAAGTTATCTCAGGTCCAAAAATTGTCCCATATATATTTTTTTACATATCAACAACAGCTGCTGGAGCCATTTTTTGCTCACTGAGTTGTTCTTGCTCTTTTTTAAGTTGCCTTTTGTGCGAGAGACATAAGATCTGGAAGGATGAAGGTCATAAGCAGCATTAAAAAATGCTGTTTTATGTAAACCTTTGCTTTAATTACTGTATCTTTACCTGAAAGAGGGTCTTCTTCCATCCTTTTTAGTTTTTCCCACATCAACATTTAGTACTGCTAAGGCACACATGATAAATCTCAAAATGCTGTTCCACTCCATGAAAATAGTCTTCACTGTTGCAGGAGCAATGGTGAGAGGGACAGTAAATCAAACACATTCCCATGACAGTATTAAAAATAAAGCTCCTTAAAGATGATTAATGTCTCCCAGTTCTTTCACTAAAGAACACCAGACATAAAAAAAAAAAAAAAAGACATTTTTACAACTCTCTGTCTCTGTTATCAGTGCTGCAGGGAACTACAGAAATTCCATAGGCAGGGAGTCCTGAGAAATGGGGCAGAAGTTGAGAAGAAGGTGTTATATTATCATTGGAAAATACAGTCTTTGCCTATTGTAGGGGGTTTATGCCATATCAAGTATGCTGGGCTCCTGCCAGTGAGATTGCAGAAGTATGGAGACATGTTTTATTCTCCTGTGAGGTAGTTTTGCTACCTTTTGATTAAGATGGTATAATCATCTTTTATGGCCAAAATACAAGTTAATACCTTTAGAAACTCAGAACTCTTCCAGTATAATACTGTGATCAGATAATATGATGGAAAAAATACATTTGGGAAGGCAATGAACTTTTAAAATTGACACTAATTTTTTTTGTTACCTGTAGAAAAAAATCCATCCTTGAATCACCCAGATATTTTGTCCTCACATGTAGTGGTACTTTGCCTACACATACACAGTCAGACACAGCCATAGGTGAGATAGGAATAGCAGGGGGAATTTACCTTTCCTGATATCTGCATTCAGTGATTATATATCAAGTATTCTTTAGTAGAAGATCAGAAATAATTATCTAAACTAGATAATAATAGGCTTTCACCTTTTTTTTTATAGCCAAGTCCCATATGATCAGAATTATAGAAAATGGATATGCTAAAATCACAAACCACAAAACTCACATCATGTTCCCTGGAAGACTTACTGTGCCCCAGATGCTGTTAGAGTGAAATTGGATGGAATTGTGGGGTTTGCAATAAACTAAGGCATGAATATGTATGTCTTTATAAAAAAATAAATTATCAGAATCATAAATAGATAGATGTCTAAGCAAGCATACAATCTTGAATGGTGCTAAATTCTTCCTCTTAAAGTAATGCTGCTGAATGTAATATCCCTCCTCGTCCTCTGTCATTCCATAAAGGATATTTATTTATGTGGTAATTTGGTTGCTTACAGTGTACAGAAAACTTCAAATCCAATTGCATTGTCTAACTTTTAGAGAAGTTATAAGTTGGTTTTCTTTCCTGCCTAGCTGAAAATGTGGAGATTCATCTCGATGAATATTGAAGGCACAGTTTCTTAAAAACTTGCAAATGCAACTTCCTATCACCACTTAAGCTAGAAGTGCTTCTACCTTAAATATATTCAGAAAATGGTAGAAAAAAGAAACAAACTCAATAACTCCTTACCTTGAATTTGGAGAGAACAAGAAAAGTTTATACTGCATAAATTGAAAAATTCAGGTGGAACTATATGAAGGGCACAGGTTTTCTTTTATAGGAAATTCTGTAAATATTTTTGTTGACTTCCTAAGACTATTAAAAAAAATCATGTTCGACTAGTAAACCTAATTTTTATAGAATCAGTCTAATTTCTTACTGAAATTAGATTCAATATGATAAAGTTAGTTTTTAGTACTAGTATAGCATTAATAGTTAATGCCATTTTCTTCCTCCATCCATTAATTTTCCATGAAAATATAGGGTAAAAAAAATCAAATTCAGTTCTCCCAGACTTTAGTCATTCTCACCGTTTCTCATATAGATGAAGTAATGTGAATGCATCTGGAAAGATTTTTCTGCTTTTAGTTTAAGATGTGGGATGTTATATAAATTTCACCAATGTGTTAAATATGTATAAACTGAATTCAATTTATACTAATAGTTTGAATGTACACAGAGAGACAACACTGGTGCCAAACTGGAGCAGAGTGGGTATCAGTAGCAGTTCGCCATACACATTCCCCCTGCTGAGACATCATTTCTACTCACAAATGAAAAGCCTGTTTAAAGTCCTTGTGTGACTGAGAGTGGGGTCTAAAGTATCTGGATTTGCAAGAAAATTATAATTACAAGCCTGGGCACCAAAATGAAATTCAGAAACTACAGAGTTAATAGTAGCTGGATGAAATTTGAGGAAAGATTGGGTCACTGGTATTTAGTGCAATTAGAAAAACCTGTAATTTTGTATGTAGTACTTCCGAACACTGGAACATCTTATTTGAGTTCAAGCTGGGCCTTTTTATCAGATGCAAGCCAAGCACCAAAATCTCAGATCTTCTGGCTTCAGCATAAATGCAAAATCTGCCTCCTCTTCAGAGTGAAAAACATGGATTAATATTAGAGCCCATTTAGTGCAAGCTATCCCAAACACCCTTGTATATAATTCCTATCATGACAGTGATTTTATTTTTCCTGCCTCAATTAATACTGATGCATCACTAAGTTTATTGAATTTCTGGTGATTCAAGTATAATACAATGAAAACACACTAAAATACACTATCACCATAAAAGGAAGCAAGTCTAAACAAGAATATTTTCCTATGGGTATATAAAGCTGTATAAAGAGCTGAATCCATCAGAAGGTTACTAGCTTGGCTGCCTTGCCATGTGTTCTTTTATGGAGGCTTTAAAATCAGCGGGGCTGATTTGTAATGTTAGGCATCTTTCCTCTGGCAGACTCCTTGTCTAAACTTCCTGCTGAAGTAACCATCATGGTAAGCAAGGCCTGTGATTTAGTGGGTTCTCTTATTTAAATTGTCCTTTTAGAAACAAGTATTGCGCTGCAAGGTTTGGGTTTTCTTTAGTTTTTGTTTTGTTTTTTTTTTTTTAAACACAGTGATTGTAGTTATTCCAGGCAGACTAAATGAAGAAAATTAAGGCACTTAAATTATTTCACACACATACAAGCATCTGCCAGATGTGTCAGATGAGGGTTTTTTTTTTGTATTTTTTCTTTAATTATAACAGGTGTGTGTAAGAAGAGTCTGTGTTGTAAGAATGGGAAGACTTCATGTTTTTAAAATTTGATCACTTCAAGTGTCTCTTCAGAGAGAAAAATACCACTTTTAAAAATGCTTTTTAATGCAGTAGAGACAGAAAAATTGTTAAAAAGCATCTACTAATTAGAATCCTAAAAATGGATGTAATGGCACATAAGCAAGAAACAAGGAAGGATTTCTATTTTAAACCCTAAGGAAAAGTGTCTCCTTGTAAAACTACTAAGGTAATTAGTGGATTCTCCATTACTTGATGTCTTGAAAGCAAGGCTGGATTCTGGGCTGGGCTGGAGTCTAGGCTGGTAGCATAAGCTGTTAAAACCCATCTCCTGTAACCTTCTTGACTCCCCTCTCCCCTCTACTGTCTCTTCTCCCAGGGGCACAGCTCTGGGTTGTGAGCACAGCTCAGGCTCAGAACAAGGCTGTGTCCCACCCACCCCCAGCTCACAAACACTTTGCCACACCAGCACAGGGTTTAAACAAGGCTTTGTGTGAAGCCTTTAAAGCAGAAAGGAACAGTTTTAATCTGAGCCAGACCTGGCCTAGAGGCTGAAAAAGCCCCTCAGAGCATCTGAGGTGTGAGAGCAGGGCTGAGCAGAGGGAGGGAGCTGCCCTGTACCAGGGACAGCAATTAGGGGTTCTGGGGTGATGCTCCTTCCTGCAGGACCTGTCCTTGCTGGGGCAGTGGGGAAGGGAAAGGGTCATCCTGCAGCACATGAGCATGTTCTTGGACTTGTGTCTATGTAGTGTTTAATGTTACCTCTATCTCAGGTCTTGTGTTGGCCAAGAAGTGGAATTTGGCAGTGCACGGATTGTGCACAAATGCAGAGGTCAGGCAAAGCTAAAACCTTTGGTTTGCAAAGGAAGAATTTGCTGATACTTATTGCTGAAATATACAAAAATGAATCATTAAAGCTGAACAGTGTTTCTTAGATAGCATATTAGAAATGAAAATAATATTTTTCTGGTTAATTCCTTTTTCCAATTGCAGGTTCAGTGAGTGAGAAGCTGCCACAACGAGAAGGTGCTGGCAAAACAGGTAAATATCTTAGTTGGCCTTTAAATAGAAGCTGAAATAGCTGTGGGAGACACTACTGTGGCTTTCCATATATTTAAATTATCAATATAAATTTGTGATGTATTATAGTATAATATGTATAATATGTATAGTATGTATAATAGTATAATATGTAATATGTATGCATGCATAATGTTTTTAATTTTGTTTGCATTGTAGATATTTAACAAACTTACAAACATATATATATATAAGTATGCATGTATTTATATACACACACACACACCAAATATTTTTTCTTGGAAATATTTTCCCATACTTTTTGCCTGTTCTGGAGGACAGATTATTCTGTCTCTTTGATAAAAATAGCATTCTGCAGCCCCAAAATCTTGGGAACTGGAGTTCTCACTTTATTTCCATAGCAATCAGTGCTTGAGTCATCTTGGACCCATCACTTTGCTTTTGTATTGTGATTAATTCATTTGATGTCTTATATTTATGGCCAGAAGATTGTTGTTATTTGATATAGGTCATGATGTATATATTTTTGGCAGGACAAAATTTGGTGTGACTAGGACATAGCTGCTAGATTTAAATGAATGAGATGTCTATGCTCTAAACAAAATTAAAGTTTACACTCTCCAAACACTTGAAAGAATTTTAGATTCAGCCGAAAACAACAAACTGAGTATTTGTCAGTTACACTGCTTAAATAAATTTTAAAGAAATTATTCATTTTTTTTACCTAATGTTAATGCCTATCTATTTAGTGTGTGGTAAATATAATTGAATTTTTTTTACAGGAGCTTTTGCAGTTTATTGCAATAAACCTGACATTTAAATAAACTATACTTCTTTTAGGCTGAAAGAATCAGTACTTCTTGAAGGCTAATAATTACAAAATACTAACAAATTGTTCCTTCATGTATTTCCAGACAAACTGCAGGTTCCACTAACCTTAGGTTGCCCATTTTCTTCAGGTCTGGACTTTCATTTTCAGCTTTGAACTGAACCTGTCCCATATATAAAACTTGACTGGGATCCTTTATTTTTGTTTGTGGCTGTGGTGGCTGAACTACTGAACCCGGAGTGAACAGTCACAGAACAAGGAAATGAACACAGTTTGTCAAACCTCCCTTCTCACCGCGTACATTTGTGTCTCAAGTGGCAGGACTGCCTTTTACTCATGCCCGGGTTTTGTTCTCCAGCACAAACCTGCAGCATGAAAGGCTCCTGCCCAGCTCCCAGGTGGTCCCTGCTTCTTCTCAAGCACTGCTGTCTTCCTCTGGTGAAGGGTGCTTCTTCCAGATGGCCACTGCCTTATGCTTTAAATAATGTTGTCAGGGACATCCCAAATTCTTTACAGACCCTCACAGAGTAGGGACCAGGGCCATACATCTATCTGAGTCAAGGAGCTGTACTTCAGCTTCACTTCAGTGTAGTAAAACCTATTGTGTAGCTTGCAGGGGCCCAGTAGAGAAGCAGGGACCTGCTTCTCTTTCCTCTGTTCTTGTGGACTAACCAGGGGTGTCAGCCCATATTGTAGCCCAGCAAGCTTAGGCTGGTTCCCAGTGTTCCCAGTGCTCCAGAGGATGTGCTTCAGACCTGCAAGGTGTGGTCTTGAGGACTCTACTCAAGAGACAGCACAGACTTGAGTAGGACAGTCTCCCCTTGCAAGATGTCTCATAAATAAGGGTCTGGTGAGCCATATCTGCTGTAGCTGTGCACCCTGCTTTCTCTGGGTGTTCCAGTACTGAAAGAAAATTTCCAGCTGCAGATACTGGAGTTCAGAGGCTTTGTTGGCATGTTTGTAAATTTAAACATTAAACTGAACAGAAATGACGCTTAAAATGAATTCTCTTAAGTATGTTCTCTGGCCCCCACAGTTCTCTCCTCTATCCAAGGAAAATATTTATACTCTGAAAAGCACAGGTGTCAGAGTTGGGATCACATCCCTTTTTTCTGATTCTTAGCTGACTTCAGGACTGTGTTCTTGGTAACTGAACTCTGGCAGCAAACACAATTTAAACAGGTTTGTGTTTAAATGTATGGATTGGCATGCATGTGCCAGCCAGGAAGAATTGTGCAATTAGTCTGGGAGATATCTAATTCATAGCACTCATTAAACATGTATCGTATTACAACAACAACAACAACACCAAAACTGTTTTAAATGATGCTTGAGCAAAGTTCAGGAGGCTAATTTTGATTGGGCAGATTATCACTGACTTGCAGTATTATGCTGAATTTCAGGTAATTACATAAGATTGACTGTGTCACATACTGCAATTGTGTAACAAAAGATTATTAGATTTATGTCATTTAAATGAAGACCTGATTTCTGTCTTGGCTCTAGGTAATACCTGCCTACCATAAGTTACCTTCTGAAATAACTTTGTTTCCTGAATCACATATTGATTGATGACCTAAATATGTGTCTTGATTTTCAGTACACTAGGATATTTGATGGCCTCTCTGAAATTAATCAATGGTCTTATTCCACCACCCAGAGGACACCACAGAAATGCCAGCAAAAATAATGAGGAGCGAAAGTCTTTCATAGCATTGGAGCAAAGAATCCTGCCATAGTGTGGACATGAAGATTGGGCACTCTTAAGAAAATTTTCCTTATGCCTTGGTTAGATAATTTTGCATTGAAAATAGCTCCCATTTTCTGCTGCTTTGGTTTTGTGAAAAGCATAACGATCACTATTCCATGGCTGGAAATTTGGTTTTATTGATACCTGCTATCAGTATCTCCTTGGTATCTGTATTTGGTGTGACCTAGACTGTGACCCTTAGAGGCGAAGGCCAGAGTGACTCCAAATTCTCTTCATAATTTAAAGACAACTCAGACTTAAAAAAAACCCAACACCCCAAACAGTGATGGTGATAGCAAAGAGAACAGGAGACTCTTCTGAATTTCAGTAGCAAGAAGAAAATGAGAGATAGATCCTGAAAACTGCTTCTCCCTTGTTACCCAGGTAAAGCTACATGACAGAAGCAGCTTCTTAGTTACCTTTGATTCTGTCTTCCATGAAAATGCCAAGAAAACAATCTGGAAACTGTTTTGGTCCGAGATCCAATTGTGAAACTGCAAGAAGTAGTAATAAAACCTTTGCATGGAAGATGCTGTTTACTGCAGTACACCTTGGTCTCAGAATTAGCTCCATGCCACAGGAAAATATGACTGGAAAATACATGCTAGCATGACCTCCTGAGTCATAGTTACCCCACATCTGCAATAGTTTTAAATAAGAAAAATATAATAAAGTAAAGATGGGTCTTTGGTACCACTCTGTTTAGCAAAAGCTTATTTAAGTAGTTTTTTATGTTTAATTTTTCTTTTCCAGCACTACCTCCACTGTGTTTAACTGAACCTAAAATGACTCACATCTTCTTGTAATTTCTGTAATTTTCCCTCCCTGTTTTCTTGCAGTAATGGTTTGTAGCTGGTGGATGGAGAATGCTGACCGGAGGATAACAGCTGTGCAAAAAAATATTCTGGTTATATAATCTGTGAATCTTATAAAATAAACTTGATTCTTAAATAGATCCTGCTGTGCTTAAAAAACCCTTTGATTTCAAGGTGTCTGTAGCCACTCATTCTCTCCAGACTGTTTTTGCTTTCACAGGTCTCACTTCTTCTGGGCATTTATCTAATTATTTCTTTAGAAGTGCTGATTTTTCATTTATAATCTATAGGTATCAGTGTGCAGCATTAGAAATGAAGAATTACACTCCAGAGAGCAACTTGATCACTTCATGCATCACCAAAGAACTTGGAATCAATTCAACATCCATAACCTCAAACCCCATCCATTTATAAAACATAGTCTGTATATGTAATATACCTGTGCTGTGTAGTGCCTATAAAGAATGTTTAAATTATTGTTTACTGGCCGGGGCTATGTGCAAATCATTATTTTCAATCATGTATGTACACTTATTTAGCTTACTCTCATAATTGTAGTCTCCTTGCAAATCTTTTCCATTCTGAATTCAGATGATGCCTCAGCTCCCGCGCTGGAGACTCAGCCTCAAGGTGATGAAGAAGGTGAGCAAATTTAACAGTGTGGTATTAAACTGTGCAGTTCTGGACTCTATTCCACAACATAAAATGCCATTTTAGGAGTATCTACAACTGCTGGGGAGGTTGCAAGAAATTGCAAACATCTGTTCTTTTTTCAGGAACAACAAAGACAGCAAACACAACAGGGTCTTACAGGCATTGAATTTTGTGTGATAGTCTTGAGATGAGATTTTTACATGTGGAGACCAACATCAGCAATTTTAATTGTTGCTGCTGAGGGCAGCCACAGGTTTTAAATTTGAGCCAAAGCTGAGATTAAAACTCTGTGTTCAAATAAACAGCTCAAAGGGTAAATTCTATCTTCAGCATAATGACTAGTAATATCACTGTTGAGGCTGATGTTTTGTGAAGCTTATTTGCCTCTGGAGAAATGAATTGCCATGAAATAATCAATAATGGTCCTATGTTGTGGCTGCCTTATCACTCACTGCTAATCTTGCAGAACTTGGTCAGCAGCCATTATATACTTTGGGTCCAGGCTAGGACATTTTTTTTTTAATTAAACATAATTTTTGTCTAAAAGTATTTATTTCAATCTTCTGTACAAATGGGATAAGGAAAAAGCTATTCATGCCTTGCATGAATAATAGTCTAAAGTGCCTTAATACAAACCAGAGGGGCCATTTTTTTTTTGGATAAATGTTTCTTTAAAACTACTGACTACTATTCAGTTGCTAATAACTTTAAAAAATATAACTTTTAAAAAGGTTAACATTTATAAAGTATTTTCTGTTGCCTTTTTTTTTTTCTAGATATAGCTTCTCGTTATCCTACCTTATGGACTGAGCAAGTAAAGAGTAGACAGAACAAAACCAATAAAAGCTCAGGTAAGAAACTTAGGTTGTCCTTACTTTGCCAAGCTCCTGTGAAGATATGCATGAACCATTTTAATAACCATCATGTTTCCACTCTTGTTGTATGATAGTGCCTTAATGATGTGCATGGTGATGATTTACTAAGCTCATGCATCAGATGGTCCTTTTGTAGAGAAGTACTTCTGGCCAGGCTTTACTTGGCTAAAATTATATTAGTCCACTAAAGTCTCTGGCTCACACCTATTTGCATCTGTTAGTGGGTCAGACATTTATTTTTTGCATTCTTTTTAATTATCTCCCTCTTTGTTATCTGCTTATTTTTGTGTGATATGTAGCAATTAGGTGCTTTTCCTGTGGGTTACATTTGTTAGGTGGTAAATCTTAGGAGGCAAACCTGAAAAGAAGCAAACTCCCACCAGAAGCCAGTTGTCAGTGAGCAGGTTTCAGAAAGACAGTGTTACCTGCTTTTTACTACATCAGTCACCTGCTATTTACAAACTGATCACTGGTTTGGTGTGAATTAATTATGTTGCTTTTTAAAAATAATTGTGGAATTCTGGCTGTACTTATTTTCATCACTGTTTAGAACTGAGCTTTTTAAACCTGGATTAGGTATGTTAGGTGAATGTCCTAAAACTGAAGTGTGTAGTATTCAGATAAATTCAGTGCTTTCGTGGATTTTGATGCCTTTCTCATTGCTCCTTCTTTTCAGTGGGATAAACTTTAGAGAATCTTCCTGGTTTCTGTTTCTGTGGAAAAATGTATAGTTTGAAAGGAAACATTAATGACGTAGGCTGTGATTCAGTAAATCACCCCAAGCCATGCTTCAAAACCAGTAGAAATTGAGATTATGCTTTATGTTAAGTACTGTGCTTAAGTGTTTTACTGAATTGAGGGCCAAAAGCATTTAGAAAAGACAAGCAATCATCATAAGAAGGAAAGTAAGATGCTGAAAAGTTTAAAGATTCCTTTATAGAAACTATTTTTAAGATTGGTGCAATAATTATTAATTTTTTTTTTTTTTTATCCTTAATTTTCCAGTAGACACTTAAGGTAGGGACCTTAAACAGCGTAGACAAGATTTTGAAGCAAATACTTTTCATGCTGGAGATTTAATTTGTCATTTCTTTAGTCAGTGTAGGCAAGAACAGAATTCCTTTGGGATTTCTGTTGCATAAAATATGTGTATAGAAAATAGTCACTGTTAGGAGTGTTTGTTTAGTTTTGACAGTGCTAGAGACTAAAGCAAGATTTCTTGAGTTTTCAGTGTAGCTGCTGGAAGCCAAAGCTTCGACACACACACCCCAACACATCCCCACACAGACAAAATCAAAAAGGTGGGTTTATTTCTGGGAACTGGTAACCTCCAGTCCGTCTAAACATGTATTTACAAGAGAAGAGAAAGCAGAAGCATAATTTACCTGTGTTGTGACTGGTAGCCCATCGTCCAGAACATGATTGTGCTATGTTTGCTAACAGCAGGTCTTGCTCAGGTGCCATACCCAGGCTAGCAGAATTACTTCAGGAGGTACTGTGTAGCAAACCTTGCTTTAATTTGTAGGTATAAGTGCTGTTCCAGACTGACATAATCAATCAAGGTGAATCCAGGTGCTAAAACCAGTGTCCTCAGTGATTCTTGTAGGCAGGTTTTTAAATTCTTGGGGAAAAAAAAAAAAAGTAAAATTTTCCCCTTGTTACCTCTCAGGGTGTGCCAAGGCTTTTGGGAACATCCACAGAGAATCAGCTCCGGACTGTTATGTGTACAGAACAGGAAAGATCTTGCCACTGAATCCAGTGGATTGTAAATTTGCCATCTTCCCACTTCCAGGCTTCAATATAAAGCATAAATATAGAAGTCTTCTTCACTCAGTTAGCTTAGTAAACTCTGATTCAGACTTGGATATACAAACATCAGAAAGCTTATTGAAAAATATTTGCCTGAGGAAAATGAGGAAAATTTATCTCTGCATAGGAACTGTGTTTATAAAACAAAACATGAAGCCAAATTTATTCATAATAGGCTAAATGTTCCTTTGTTTTTCTGTACTAATCCTAGTGCTGTCAAAGAAATTCTTGAGGAGCAAATAGCATTATCATCTAGCCCTGCCTATAGAACATAACAAAAAAAAAGACAAAACTAAAAATTTCAGGCAAGATACAAATATCCTATTTAAAAACTTACTATTTTAGTCTGTACTGCTCCCTTCTTGCTAGTTTTTACCTGAATATCATGATCAATATGTCATCTACAAATTTGGCTTGAGCTGAGAAATCAATCTCATTAGGAGAAAGTTTTTGTGAGTTAAGGTCACAAATGAATACATTAAATTTGTTTTACCCCTCATGAACTGGTTTGCTTTTACTATTCTGCAATTGACCTGCCAGTTACAATTAGCCAGTAAAATCAGCATAAACTGTTTTAGGTTCTGGAAGATAAATAATAATGTCTCAGGAAATTCTAGTTTATATTTGTTCTCCAGTGCATTTGTTTGACTGAATGAGCCTAAATTAATTTAGCACGGAGTAATGGCATTTGCAAGACTCACAGATGCAAGGCATGAAATTAGTGGATTATATATCCATGTTCTATAATGCCTTCTAGTGTATATTCTTTTTGTTGGCTCAGAGAAAAAGGCCTTTGCTGTTCACTTAAGGCATTTGTGGAGTGATAATTAACCTATTAGTTTTTGAGAACAAAATTTCACTGGATCATGTTACAATAGCTCTGTTTAGAGTGGCAGATTTGAGTAGAAATATCTTCATTTTAGCTTTTTTTTGTACATTGAAGATTATTTTCAAAATAGTTTTTCTTTCCATACTTAGAGTATCCATCTCATTGCTAATATAGTTTTTGCTGAGATGTTTTATACATATGTTACAGTGCCTTTGCAAATATTTCATGACTACCCCACACTCCTCATTTCTTTCTCCATTTCACAGAAAATACTGCAGATTTGCCATATCAGATGTAAGAATTTCACCAACAGCTATAAAAAATAAACAGAAACCACTGAACAAGGGACGACAGGGGTTCTGATTAAGACATCAAAATGTAGCAGCCTATACTGCTGTCTGTCTGTGTGCCTAAATTCCTGCTGTAGTTTGTGGGGCTGTGATCAGTGCAGTCAGTGGAGCCTGGAGCCACCCAGCTCATGGTACAGCCCCCAGAACTGTGCAGCTGACTCTGTATCTGGAGCCCACTAGGCATGGTGACTAGTTTACATCTGAAGCTGATATTAAGGTGGCTGTGCTTTAGACAAACTTAATCCCACACGTATATCAGTTGGAAATCCGGGTGCTGCTCTTTTTAGTATTTTGTAAAGACCAGAGGACAGAAGGTTTTTTGCCTTGAAGAAACTGGATATTTTGGACTATGTTCTTTGCAATTGCCAGTTACTGTAATTTCAAGGCTCAGTGCAAATTTACTGTGAGTGAAGAAGACAGTGCAGATGCTTTCCATCACCTAACAGGGAAAAATGCAGTCTCTGAGAGGAGCTCAGGTTGGACTGTAAATATCTTAGGCTCTTCTTGCTACATCTGCTCTATCATCAGTGTATATCCCTGTGGGGTTCTTGGGAACAAAGTATGACACTTTTCAGAGGTTGTACACCCTTTTTTTGTGTTTGAGTATAGACAAAGAAAGTGTAGTTTAATTATTTTCACAGTGCCCGGTGAAACTTCAAATTAATTTTCTTAGCTTGAACTTGAGAGCCATTATTTTCAAATAGTCTGTTGTGGGAGCACTTTCCTAAGAAATAAATAGTGTGAATTTAACTGATAATATTTTTAATGCTCAAAAGGTTCTTAAAGTACTCAGTAATTTCTCAGTAGAATCTATACGCTACAGAATAAACCATACTTAGTGTAAAATTTCATTAATTTTGCAAATACAGGAAATAAAAAGTCATCTATAAACTCTAATACACTTACATAGGTACTTAAAGACCTTAGAGATTCTGGTGATAATGTAATTCAACATAAAAAAAAAGTTTGAATGTTGTTCTAGTTGCTAAAATACAGTACAGTTTCACCTATTTACTATTCACTTCTATTCTCTTATTATTATACTTTCATATTCAGTATCCATAAAGATGTAATAGTGTCTTAGTGCTAATGATTTATATCTTCATTGAGCATACATTTGTTGATCATGTGTTTAGTGAACTTTGTAAAGGGGTTGTAAAACTGGTGTTTGTTGTGTTGATAATCCAGTATGACCAGTATCACCAATATAGAAGAGAAGAAGAAATTGTTCCCTTTCTTTGTTGACCCAGTAGTTCACATTTCATTTGAACCACACAGACACATGATGCAGTGTTTGTGCCCCATTCATGATTTCTGCCATCTTTATGCTTATATGCTTTAAGCAGGTGCTAGTGGACAAGCCACACATAATCCATCAGAAAATAGGGCTGACCCAGAGAAAACCTTGATCTACCATTAAGACTTCTGAGGCAGGGTCAGGTTTATGTGATGATAACATTTTTCATCTAGAAGGAAGAATCATAAATACAAATTAATTTTCTCCTCAAATTATGGTTTTGGAGATTTCAAGAGTGCCCAGATTTCAACCACTTTATATAGGTATTCTGGTAATCTAGAATCATCATCATCATCATTTTTTATTTCACCTGTGGGCACGTGAAAGGGACACATAGCTTTTTATTTAATTTTCTGACCCAATGGAGTAGTGTTTTATTGCTGTCTTTTTGCTACAGCCTATGATTTTCAGGACTTAAAAAATCTGTTGCAAGATTTTATCAATTAGTCCTAGAAACTTTTGATCCAACAGGAGTTTCATTCTCAAAACACCATCTGGGAAAACACTGATGTGCACATACAGCCATCATATTACAGACTGGCTGCAAATGCAAATGAAAATGGTGTAACATTTGCTGAGAATATCTTCTTAATAGAATAAAATAATGAAATATAAAGTGATAATTATGTGTTTGTATCTATACAAAGTAGCTGCTTGCATTTATCTGTCTGTATAGTCTGAATCTGTTGGC